AGGTGGCGACGCACAGCAAGACGTGCAGCAGCATCGCGCGTGGCCCACTGTGAGCGAACAGTGGCGTCGGCATCAGCAGCGGGTGCAGGAGAGGCACCAGAAGTGAGGTCAAAGAGGGAGAGGCCGTCTGCCCTATCGCACTGTAAGAAAAGCTGCAGGTCATCTATCCAGACTTCAAAGTCAATGGCCCGACCCTCAGCGTCAAAAGCGAGGACACTAGGGGTAGCCATGACAGCAGTAGACTAGCAGTGCAAACAGTAGGGTGAGGGCAGTGCTGTGAGAGAGGCGCTGCTCTTACCGGACAGGGCGGCTCGGGCGGCTCGGCTGCAGGGCGGCTCGGCGACTCGACGGGTGGGCGGCTCGGCTGCTGGGCGGCTCGGCTGCTCGGCTGCTGGGCGGCTCGGCTGCTGGGCGGCTCGGCTGCTCGGCTGCTGGGCGGCTCGGCTGCTGGGCGGCTCGGCGGCTGGGCGGCTCGGCTGCTGGGCGGCTCGGCTGCTGGGCGTATCGGCGGCTGGGCGGCTCGGCTGCTGGGCGGCTCGGCTGCTGGGCGGCTCGGCGGCTGGGCGGCTCGGTTGCTGGGCGGCTCGGCGGCTCAGCGGCTGGGCTGCTCGGTTGCCGGGCGGCTCGGCGGCTGGGCTGCTCGTAGGAGTAGGCGTGGGGGCCGTAGGAGCAGGCGCCGGGGCCGTAGGAGCAGGGGCCGGGGCCGCTAGGGCGGCGGATCGGGGCCGCGAGGGCGACGGATCGGGGCCGCGAGGGCGGCGGAGTAGGGGCCGCGAGGGCGGCGGAGTAGGGGCCGCGAGGGCGGCGGATCGGGGCCGCGAGGGCGGCGGATCGGGGCCGCGAGGGCGGCGGAGTAGGGGCCGCGAGGGCGGCGGATCGGGGCCGCGAAGGGCGGCGGATCGGGGCCGCGAGGGCGGCGGAGCGGGGCCGCGAGGGCGGCGGATCGGGGCCGCGAGGGCGGCGGATCGGGGCCGCGAGGGCGGCGGAGTAGGGGCCACGAAGGGCGGCGGAGTAGGGGGGGGGGGGGCGCGAGGGCGGCGGATCGGGGCCGCGAAGGGAGGCGGCCGGCGCCGCGAGGGTGGGGCCGCGGGGTCGCTAGGGTAGGGCGACAGAGCCGCGAGGGCGGCTCGAAGGGACCGCGAGGGCGGCGCGAAGGGGCCGCTAGGGCGGCGCGAGAGAGGGGAGCGCGACTCGGGCAGGGGCTGAGTGCGCTCCGGGCAGGAAAAAAAAAACGGTGGGCCCTAGGAACAGTTCCCACGAGGGAACCTGCTCGATACCATGATAAGAAACAAGGAATGAATGAACTATGTATGAATTGGGTACAAGTACTAACCATAATTGGGTTGTACCTCTTATGGGCTACCCCACTATAGCCTACACAATATGCATGAGCTATAATATTCTGACACAACGTGCGGGCGTGCTTGTTTGTGTTTTGTCCTTTTTTATGTTCAGGTCGGGTGGTTCCCGAAAGCAGAAACAAGGCGAAAACCATTTGCGAAAACACGAGTGTCGCAACAAGTCAACAGGCACGGAGGGAACCAGAAACAAGAGGCATATGTCATTTTGTGTACCAACTTTACCGGCTTGTGCAGACAGGAAAAAAATGAAATTATTTTAGACTACATTACATCCGCAGTAACAACAAAATGTTGCATGCGATGTTTGTTTTAGGTGAGACTCCTAGTTTCATACCCGATTTTGAAAGGCATTTCTATGGCCTGCGCTGCATCCACGCAGGGCGCCCCGCCCTCCACCTCGACGTCGTCCCTATCCCTGTAAAAAAATAAAAAATAAAATCCAAAATAGTTGTAAAGAGGGTATATTTTTATGTGTGTGTGTGTATATATATACATATATGTATATATGTACAGAGGGTATATATATATATTGTTAGAATGATGAGCACAGTGAGGAGCCATAGCTAGGGTTTACCTAGCTAGGCAAGAGAGAAATGAGCAAAAAGGAGGGTTTGCCTAGCAACAGTTGGGATACAAATAAGAAACCCTAAGGGGCCGTACTCACTATAGAGTACCCCACTGCAGGCTAGACAAGCATTATAATCTGACATATATATATATGTATATATTTGTACCGTTTTGCGTACAAACCCCACTTTCGGGTTCGCACGTTTGGCCGAAATCTAAGGTGCGGAGGCTGCCTCGCGTCACCTTCGGTCTTCCCTTGCCCAACCTGCACCCAACCTCGCGCACCTGAGGTTCCTACCAGGCCCCTAGAAGTTAGAGAAATTTCTCTGATTTGCCTAAAAAATTATGATACTTCAGCCTTTTTTTTAGTGAACTCTGAATATTCAGAAATTTGTTTTCCAGTGAACTTTGAATATTCAGAAAAAAAAATGAAGGCGTTGTCTGTTTTTTCAGCCTTTTTCCCAGATTGTACTCTGATCCATGAGCGTTTTAGCGGGTACCTACCCTGATAGTTGTTGTGCCAACACATTATAGTGGCACGGTCATCGCACTCCCATTCGGCCTACAAGCCTGCTCAGCTTCTGGAATTTTGTGGGGAGGTTGTTCAACATGTGTTCTTCAAACCCTCAAAGTTTCAGAGTTTTTGAAGCAGTTACCAAGGCATGACAACATTTTATGTTTCAAGACTTATGGCATTGCGGAAGTGTGTGTTACTCCTTTTTGGTAACACCCGAGTTCACCATTTCGGCTGCTGACTCGTCTACCGAGCTCTGATTGGTCTGAAATTAGGTCTGGCAGTCCTTTGCCCTGCTGTGCAGGTGGTCACCAAGTTTCAGAACGATCCAACATCTGAGCATTGCGTGACAGCTGCCGAAATTCACTATTCCGTAGTCATGGTGCACTGTTGGCAGCATTTCCCTTGCCACCCTTTCATTGTTGTCATGCCAATGGTGCAGAGACAGAGAATGAGACAAGAAGTACAGGTGGTCAAGTGGGACTCTACAACCCTCCTTTTGAGAAGTGTGGTCTTCCTGGAACCAGCTTGCAAGAGGGTGCAAGTGGGAAGACAAGCCGACTCATGGTTGGCTTGACTCACAATTGGTTGCCTTGAGTACAGCTCTGAACATCCATGTGTGGTTGGCTTTGCTGACCTAGCTAGGACGTTTCCCATCCTTCTCTAGCCTTTCTCCCCTAGGACTCAACCTTCTCTGAGTTCCCAGGATGACCCAACCCCTTATGAGTCCCCTAGGCAATGTTGTACTCACCTCTTCCTTGCATCAATGAGAATACACGTTTTTCAGCCGAGCTTACGTTCTCGTTCACAGCGTAGCGCATACACCTCTGGTGAAAGCAAGCAATACACCGTTGGAAAGCAGACACCTAAGGCTAACTGCTGTCCAAGTTTCAGCCTCATGTGTTATCGGAGCTGATCGTGACGTCGTTTTGAACAGAGGCGGTTTGAAGACGTCAGATTCTGCTTAGGCGGTTTCATGGGCATCCGCGACCTCTAAGTGGACTCTTGACTATAACAATAGTCCTGTGCGAAATCTGCACTAACAGCCGTGATGAGCGCTGCAAGTACAGTTCAGGCCTGTCAGTCAAGCTGAAACAGTGACAGCAGTGCCACGCGGCGCAAATACCACCTCGTTTTAGGCTGATCCATCAGCTTACCTACTGATGTGAACTCTGGGTAATCAAACTTTTATACCATTGAACTCTGAAATTTCAGATTTTTTTTTTTTTTTTTTTTTTTTGTACCAAGTCTGATTGATCAGACTAAAAATGTGGACTAAGTATGACAAATCAGACAGCCCCAAAACGAATCTGAGGGCCTGGTTCCTACCTGGCTTGACACCTTTGTATACATGAATACCACTATCGTAACATTTGCCTGCAGGAGACAGACGACTACCACATGCCTATTCTCAACAAATGCTTATGGCCACCATGATACCTCGACGCACAGGCTTGGAAGTGTTTGGAACACAACCGTATATGTTCAGCAAATGTTATACAAATAAGAGGAAAGAACACAGCCAACAAGAGCCCACCAGAAGATGTAACTAGGACAATGTCGATAGATGGGATGGTATACAGTACATGCAAGAAGTGGCGATACCACTACGGTGAACATCTCGCAAAATTGGACAGCTGTTCTCTTTCTTAATTTTCTGCACGATCAGGTTCGAGGAGACAAGCACATGGGTGTAAAGGGTGCGTTCGGATGCATGCAAACAGTGCAAATCTGCAAGGTGTGCGCATTTGATAGAGATATATGTAGTATGCATCTGGCGCAAGAGAGTGGGAGAAAGAGAGGGAGTGGGTGAAGAGAGAGAGCGGATGAAAAGAGGGAGAGGGAGAGGGAGAGGGGAGAGAGAGAGAGAGAGAGAGAGAGAGAGAGAGAGTGAGAGAGAGAGAGAAGGAGAGAGAGAGAGAGCGAGAGAGAGATGGCATAGTCTTAGTCCTTAGCCATCTCTAGGCCTCTCTTCAATAGGATCTAGTCCTTAGCCATTTCTAGGCCTGTTTCCTTAGTATAAAGGCCCTAGATCTAGGCTAGTGAGCTCATTATTCACTGGTGAGTTAGAATCACTCTCCAAATCCGGTGGCTCGTTCGAGAGAGAGCGAGAGAGAGAGAGAGAGAGAGAGAGAGAGAGAGAGAGAGAGAGAGAGAGAGAGAGAGAGAGAGAGAGAGAGAGAGAGAGGCACTAGGCCCTTTCCTTAGTCTCTCCAAGCTCTCTAGCTTAGCTTAGCCTTAGCATAGCATAGATTTAAGCCTTTCTTAGCCTCCTGTCCCTAGTGTATTCCCTGCAGCAAGCCTATAAGGAGTACATTAACACATATAGCCTCCCCTACTGCCTCATTCCTGCCATTATTCTCTGGTGAGCTTGGTTCCTCCCAACCCAGTGGCTCGCGCCGGCCGCCTTCGGCGGCCGACGCTCGACGGCGCGGCCTTCGGCCGCGCGTGAGGGGAGGCAAGTACAAGGGGACAAGAGCAACGTTAAACAATGGCATACATTACAAAAGGGCTCAACTAAGGCTGCCCAGAGTCACACAACAGGCAGGCCCCCAGTCATGGGGAGGAAAAAGCCCACAACCAAGGTGACAAAGGCGAAGCCGCCTAAACCTGACGCACCCGCTGCTCAAGCCAGCGGAGCAAGGACGAGATCGCAGGGACCACCTCCAAAGGCGCCGACTCAGCAGCCTTGGCTACCCTCCGGAAGGCCGCGGCGCCAGGACCTTCATCCAGTACAGGATCCACAGGCTCCAGCGGCAAACGCAACACCTCCCACAGTGCGCCAGCCACCGCCGCGCGCACGTGCGCCAGCTGCAGCGCGCCAAATTCGGGATCGCGCTGGACAATCTCCCGCGTCTGAAGAGCATGATGGAGCTGCTCCAACACAGCAGCCACGCCAGCCACACAATGGCAAAACTGCAACAGCCGCGAATCAGCAGGAGAAGCGCACCAGGGAGGGCCCCAACCACCATCACGCGGGCGACGAGACCACGACACCCCCCAGGGATCAGCAGGCGGACCAGGAGGCGCCGATGGCGATAAACGGGGAGGAGGAGGAGGGGGGAGGGGAGAAGGTACCGGCGGCGGCAGAGACTGAGGCCCCACAGGGGGGGGCGGCGGCGGCACCACAGGAGGCTGCAAGGGCGGCTGAGATTGAGGGAGGGCAGACGGAGGACATAGGGAGGCCTGCGCCGGCTGAGAGGGAGGCCCCTGAGGCGGAGGAACCGGTGGGTGGGGAACCGGCGGCAGAGACGGCTGCTGAGCCGCAGGAGGCGGCTGAATCTGCGGAGGATGAGAGGTTAGCGGCGGCAGAGAAGGACTCGGCTGACACTGAGAGACCGGCAGCTGGGCCTGCGGCGTCTGAGGCGCTAGAAGAGAGGCCCACGTCGGCGGCGGCTGCGGCGGCAAGCAACTCGGGCCGGAAGACGCAGACGGCGCCACCGGCTCAGCCCCGGGCAGCGCCACCGATGGGGAGGATAACAGGGCTGCCGGCACAGACAAAGGCTGCTGCTGTGACGAAGAAGAAGCCAGCGACGGCAACGGTCGAGGCGGCAGGGGCTGCGTCGATGGTTGCGAGTGAGGCGCCAGTGGCACCTGCGACCGTGGGGCCTGAACCAAGGATCGCGCCGACTGCAGGGCAAGCGACGGAGATGGCCAGGGAGGGCGGCGGCGGCGGAAGGATTGACCCCGGGCCCTTAGATGCGGATGAGTCCGCCGATAAATTGGCTCACGAGGCGCAGACGAATCGACGCGTGCCTGAGAGGAACCGCCGCCAGAAGCCGCGGCCGCAACAACATCAGCGGCGGCTCGGAGAAGGGCTGGCACCCGCCCGACCTGGGCCCCTTGTGGGTTGGACGCATCAGGCAGATCCGCCCCAGGCAGTCGCCGAGGTGGAGGGCGGCGACGACCAGTCATCACCGCTGGAGATCGCGGAAGAAGAGGCGGAGGCGCAGGAGGAGAGGGAGAGCGCCGCCGAAGATGCAGAGGAGAGGAGGGCCGCGGCGAGACGCGGCCGCCACCAAGGGGGAACGAACCGGCAGCAGGCCCTGCTGGAGCAGGCCAACCGGAGAGCTGAAGGTCGACCGCCGGAAACCGTGGCGCCTGGGGCGGCAGCGCGAGGAGCGCGAGGGAGGGGCCGAGGCAGGGGAGGAGGCCTGGGAAACTTGGTACAAGCGGTAGCAAGGGAAAAGGCCAGATCGGGGGACTGGCGGGAAAGACACAGAAGGCCGGAGCGGACTGGCACAAGACAGAACGCAAACCCAATGAGGGGTGAGGATGAAGGAAGTGATGGGGAATATATTGAATCGGAGGAGAGGGATTCTGAAGATATCTCCCTCGACGCAGAGGAGGGGATCCCGAATACAGGCGCAAACCAGGGACAGAGGAGGCCGCGTGGCCCACAACCAGCCCAGGAGGCCGAATCAAGTGCACAGGCTAGCGCGAGGGCAGCAAATAGAGAGCGCTCAGCAGCAGATATCGCGGATGACGAGGCCACGTGGCAGAAGGTGAAGGAGTGGGACTTGTCACCTCTACGCAACAGTGCCCAGCCCTTCCTAGGTCGGAAGCTTCCCCCCAACATTCTCGGAATCTACAGCTACTGCCTCACGATTCCCCTGCTGTGGCTTTCCAAGAACCCGACCTGCCAAGGAGCCTGGCGAATGTTGCTATTCCTGCCCCGACTCACACTGAGAGCTAACATTGGGAACGCACCTGGAAACAGGTGGAGCGAGGTGGCGACAAGGCTGGACCAGTTCAAGTTGGAAACGTGGGACTTACTGTACTCCCAGGCCTGCACCATACCCCAGAACTCCCAACCGAGTCGTCACCAGCCGGACCCAGAGGGCATCTGCGCGAGGGCGGAGGGGCTCGTGCGCAAGGCGAATTTGGCAAAAGCAGCAGCAGCGTTACAAACTTCGCCACTCGCAGAACCATCAAATGCGACCCTGGAAGCATTAAAAGCGAAGCACCCTGGGGCAGGGAGCGAAATCCCGAACTGGGTAACAGGATTCGCCTCCAGCAACCTCGCAACGTCAGCAGAGACCTTTCGCGAAGTACTGGCGAAATGCCCCAACGGAATTAAAGCGGGACCCTCAGGCACCTGCTTCGAGCACCTTCGAGACCCCGCGCTCACCAACAATGAATTATTCTCTTACCTGCACGGCGTCGTCAACCACGTCCTTAGCACCCACCTGCCAGCGGAACTGACGGAGCTTTTGCTACCATCTAGACTAGCCCTGGAGAAACCGGACGGAGGTGTCAGACCCATAGCCATAGGAGAAGCGATACTACGACTCACAGCTAAGGCAGCGCTTAGGGAACTAAGCACGCCCATCCGAGAATACTTCCTCCCGGTACAATTTGGAGTGGCAGTACCTGGAGGCGCCGAATGTATTATTCACACGGTGCGGGCGCTCTTAGCTGAGGATCCGAAGCGAGTGGCGCTGCAGTTAGATATCGAAAACGCCTTTAACTCGGTTGAACGCGCCGGTTTTTTCGAATCACTGCATTTCTCTGGACTCACCCGCGCCATACCACTAGTGCGTACGCTGTACGGCACACCCTCCTGCCTACTACTGGATCACGGCTTCGCGGCACCACACATCGAGAGCGCGCGCGGGGTCCGTCAAGGAGATCCATTAGGCCCCATGCTTTTCGCGGCAGCTATTCAACCGGCGCTTCAGGTGGCGTCTGACATCTTCCCGTCGGTCACGGTCATGGCCTACGCGGATGACATTACAATCGTGGGGACGGCGCAGGAAGCGGCACTCACCTTGGGGATCATCACCAGGCAACTCGCCGGCCGCGGCCTCAAATGCAACCTCGCGAAATCATCTGCTTGGAGCCCATCAGGCATACCGGACGCCCTTCCTGACGGCCTGGTAGCAGCAGTAGACGGCATACGCGTCCTGGGGAGCCCCATAGGAACAAGGGAATACGGGAGGCGCATGATCACAGCTTCCCTAGACGCGGTGGCGGCCCCCCTAGACCTTATCAGCAGCATCCACCCGCAGCACGCCCTACTGTTGCTGTCACGCTGCGTATCCAGGCGTATCTCATATCTGCTTCGGACAACACCGGCAGACATGCTGCCCTTAGAAGAGTGGCGGGAGTGGAGCGAAGGAGTGGTGTGGACGGCGCTCAAAGCGGCACACCTGCACGTGCCGAGGAAGGAGATCGAACAGAGCCTGGTGTGGAGGCAGGCGACCCTTCCAGTATGCCTCGGCGGGCTGGGCCTCATAGATCCGGTCTCGGAAGCACCCGCAGCCTACCTGGCATCCCTATGCGCGGCCCACACCCTACTGAGTGGCCTCCCTGAGCACCCAGACCACCCCCTGCGGCGGGCTGCAGACCTGGTATCTACAGAACGCATCGAGGTGTCGGCACGGGGAGGGGAGACCCTGCAGGACCTTAAAAACAAGCTACCAGAAAGGGCACTGGAACTCCTACATGAGCACCACCGTCAGAAGGGGGGGAAAGGGCGGCTGCAGTTGGGGCTATCCCGCGAGGTCAACTTGGACAGGGCAGCGGAGCTGATAGGGGACACCCGGGTAGACAAGCCGGGCGAGGATAACGGGCACGTGGTGCGGCTCATAGCCTTGCAGGCGCCGGGGGCAGGAGACTGGCTGCATGCCATACCCATGCGAGCGGACCTCACCTTCTCGCCCGGGCAATTTGCCATAGCCCTAGGCTTCAGGCTCGGCCTTTCCCTTCCAGTCACAGAAAACTGCCCCTGCCGCGGCAGGCGCTCCAAGATAGCAGACAGCAGCCTGCCGAATCACCTGCTGAGATGCGCGGATGGGGGGGACCGCACCAACACCCACAACGCGCTGGTGTACGCGGCACTACGCATGGCACGTGAGGCAGATTTCACTACCTTGCACGAGACGACAGGATTTTCGCCCCCAGTCAACCCTAAACGGGCGGACCTGGTCTTCCGTGACAGGGAGTCTGGTGAAACCTACCTCACAGACGTGACGGTGACCGACCCAGTGCTGCAGAGGCGGGACAGCCAAGGGAGAAAGGCGCCAGGGTGGGCAGCAGAGGACGCTGCCAGGACCAAAAGGGGGCTGTATGAGGAGCGCCCCGAGTTCGCGGGGGTCCTGGGCCTGGCCGTGGAAACCTACGGGGGACTAGCGAGAGACACACAGAAATTCTTCCGCATTTTAGGCACGAGTGCGGCCAAGAAGAAGCACCGCCAAGGGAGGCTCACCACGGTGGCCTCCAGGCTGACTGCGCACTACCGACAACGCTGGTCGGTAATGCTGCAGCGCTGCCAAGCCAACGCCATGCTGGCAAAGTCCAACAGGGCGGCGGAGGCAGCATACCCCCAGGCCTGGGCTGACCCTTGGGAGCCAGGCCTGGGGGACATTTGGCAGGTCCTGGAAGATGAGGTGGAGGAAGTGTGGGACCTGGGAGTCTAGAAGGCTGGAGAGAAGGAGCCGGGGCAAGACCAAGGCCGCCTGAGCCACCATGGGGGCCTAGTGATAGGTGCTTGCATGCCTAGGCAGCCATGTACCAAGGAAGGTAGGAATAGTACAAGTAATGCACACCAGGATTGCCTATGCTTCTAGGACAGCATGTATGCCAAACTACTCATGCCATGCTTGTATCCTATGACCATTATCAATACAGGACTGCTTGAGAGAGAGAGAGAGAGAGAGAGAGAGAGAGAGAGAGAGAGAGAGAGAGAGAGAGAGAGAGAGAGAGAGAGAGAGAGAGAGAGGGATGGCTTGGGCCTAGTCCTTAGCCGTTTTTTAGCCCCTCTAGCCTAGTCCATAGTCCTTAGCCGTTTTCAGCACTGTTTCCCTAGTATAAAGTCTCTAGTCCTTGGCCCATGAGGCTCATTCTTCACTGGTGAGTCTAGTTCACTCTCCAAAAACGGCGGCTCGCGCCGGCCGCCGAAGGCGGCCGCCGCTCGCCGGCGCGGCCTTTGGCCGCGCGTGAGGTGTGGCAAGGACAAAAGGAAACAAGGGCTATAACAACAAGCATTACAACATGCAGCTGTAGCCACCTACACCAACAACAACACCCCCAGGCGTGGACTATCCGCCATGGGGAAGCCCAAGTCCCAGCCCAGCACCACAGGGGCGGCCAAGGGAAAGACAGCGGTTACTCGGACAGGATCCAGCAGAGCCTCCCGTCCATCCAGCGCAGGACGGATGCGGCTACTGACACGAGGCCGAGCGGTGCCTCTCGGGCAGATTCGGCAAGCTGCAGTAAAGCCCGAGTCCGGGTGCGAGCGCAGCACCAGGGGAGCCGGGCACGTAGCCAATCAAGGGGAGGAAATGCTGCAGCTCTTCCGCTGCTGACTCAGCCGCCGCCTGCTCCGTTGGCGACAACCCCTCGATCTCAAGGCCCTGACGTGACAGGCACAAATGAAGCTGATCAAGCACGTTTGACAGGAGAGTTAGGCAACTTCCCACGTTCATTGCGCGCTCTACGACGCCATCAGGGAGACTCCCGCCAGCCGGACTCCACCCCGCCTCAGGAACAACGGCGCGGGGAGCTGGCGGCGCTGGAGGGGTCAGCAGCCCCCATGGGATTGGTACCTCCCGCCCGCCAACGAAGAGTCGAGGGTACGAACCAGCACCCAGACCGGCCTGAGAAGGGGAGGGGGAGTGAGGGGGAGGAGACGAAGGCTGTGGTTGCTGGGGCTGCGGTTGCGGCGGTGCCTGAGGCGGTAGTGGCTGCGGTGCCTGAGGCTGTGGCCGGTGGGACAACTGGCGCAGCTGCTGCTGCTGGCGGGTCTGCCGTTGCCTCTGGCGACAACTCATTTTCACATTCTGCGACCCCCTAGGCTGGGCCACTGTCTCCTGAGGAACGGGAGCGGTCGGCGGAACAGGGACAGACAGGGGACGTGGAGCTGGCTGCGTCCCCGGCGCCGATGGAGGCGGCTGTGATTGCCGCGGTCGTGACTGCCGCGGGGAGACGGGATGGTCAGCCGAACGGCGAGGAATTGACAGCTGCCGCTGTGTTCGCCGGAACTTCTGTTGCTGGCAAAGACGCAGACATGCAGGGGCACGGCCAGGCGGCGGGCGATAGTCAGGGGCCCACAAACGGCGCTCCGGCGCTCCTTCCGGCGTGTCAAAGGCGAAGCCGAAGAGGAAGCTGCGGGTACAGCCAGCGCCGAGACAGCCCGGAGCAGGGCTGGGACCCAGCGCCCCGGGACCCCTCCTGGGCTGGCTTTTGCAAGGGCAGCCGCCACGAGAGTCAGAGCGTCAGGAGCCATCCCAGGGTTGCGCGCCCGCACTGTCCGCCGCCACGCAAGCAGCTTCGCACGCGCCAACGACACGAACGCCGAACCTGCGCGGAGGTAACGGGGTGGCACAGGCAGCAGCAGTGGCACCAACGGGAGCAGGCGGGGACACTGCGGCAGCAGTAGTAGGCACCAGGCGCTCAGCAAGGCTCGGGGCGATATCTTGGGGGCCGCCACGGGGCGGACGGACACCGTGGGTGCTGGCGGGCCGCGGCAATGGCGTGGCGGAAACGGCAGGAGCAGCGGGACGGGGACAACGAGGGGTTTTACGCAGGGGGATGAGAGGCGGAAGGGGAGGGCGCACTCAAGCGCCTAGAGCGGAGATTCCAGTGAGGACCGGCCCCTTGTGGGAGCATCACGACAGGCCTGAGAGAGTGATCCTGCAGGCGGATGAGGACCGGGTGGCTTCTGACAACCTCGGTGCCGACCCAGAATTTATGGCTGGAGAGGACGAAGCCTCAAAGGAAACCTCCCTTGACGACGAGACCAGGCGCCTTCAGGTACTGCGTCTACTGAGGCACTGCACAACTTCACACTGGACTCAGGTGATTCCCGCTGTTTCTTTCGCGACCGCACTGCCCTCGAGCAGCTCCCTAGGCCGGTTGCTGTCTCCCTGGCTGACCCCTCCGGGGGTCCGGTCCTTGCGACCTCCACCACTGCCCTCCCTTGTCCTGCTGTCCCGTCCGGCACACTGTCGGGCCTTTACCTCCCCTCGTTCTCTACGAACTTGGTGGCGGGTTCTGCGCTCCAGGACGCGGGTGTTCACCAGTTCACCCTTGCCTACGAGCGTGTGACACACTGCACGTGTGCCCAGACGGGTCGTCACCTGGCTACCTTCACTCGGCAGCCGGGGTCGGACTTGTACACACTGACCACTGAGTCCCCTCAGGTAGCGGCGTCTGCGTCTGCGTCAGGTCAGTTGTCCGCCCCCTGCTCGTGTCGCACCCTGTCGCACCGGACGGTCCTCTGGCACCACCGCCTTGGGCACCCTTCGATGCAGCGCCTTCGTGGCATGCACTCTCGTTTCCTTGTCTCTGTTCTCCCCAGGTCACTGCCTCCCCTGCCACCGTCCCCTGCCCCTCCTTGCCTTCCCTGTGTCGAGGGGCGGCAGCGTGCCACTCCTCACTCCTCTGAGTTCCCCCCGACGGAGGCTCCTCTGCAGACCCTTCACATGGACGTGTGGGGCCCAGCCCGCGTCCGTGGACAGTGCGGAGAGCGCTACTTCCTGCTGGTAGTTGACGACTACACGCGTTACACCACGGTCTTCCCCTTGCGCACCAAGGGAGAGGTCCCTGCTGTCTTGATCCCTTGGATCCGCGCTACTCGTCTCCAGCTGGAGAGGCGCTTTCGCACGGACCTTCCCGTCCTGCGACTGCACTCTGACAGAGGTGGTGAGTTTTCCTCCGGCCTCTTGGAGGCCTTCTGTCAGGGGGAGGGCATTGAGCTGGCGTTCACGCTTCCGGCCTCTCCTCAGCAGAATGGGGTTGCTGAGCGCCGCATTGGCTTGGTCATGGAGGTCCCTCGTACCTCCTTGGTCCATGCGGCTGCCCCCCATTTTCTGTGGCCGTTTGCGGTCCGGTACGCCGCGCATCAGCTCAACCTCTGGCCCCGTGTCTCCGTTCCGGAGACCTCGCCGACACTGCGTTGGACGGGAGCGGTTGGCGATGCGTCTGTGTTCCGTGTCTGGGGATCTCGTGCCTTTGTCCGCGATACGTCCGCGGACAAGCTCTCCTCCCGTGCCGTTCCTTGTCTCTTCCTGGGCTTTGTCCCTGACGCGCCTGGCTGGCAGTTTTACCACCCCACCTCGCGCCGTGTCTTCCCCTCTTAGGACGTCACGTTTGACGAGTCGGTCCCCTTTTACCGTCTCTTCCCCTACCGCACTGCCCCGCTCCCCCCTCCGCCGCTCTTCCTCACGCCAGGTGCTGCTTCGGTAGACCCCCTGCCTCCCCAGGGTCCTGCTCCCTCAGGTGTTTCCCAGGTAGACCCGGTCGAGCCTGTCGAGGTAGCTGTCGACTCTGGTCCTGCGCGAGGTACTGAACGTGCTGAGCCTGAGCGTGCTGAGCCTGGTGGTGCTGGGTCTGGGGGTACTGCGACTGGGGGTGCTGAGCCTGGGGGTGCTGAGCCTGGGGGTGCGGAGACTGCGGGTGCTGAGCCTGGGGGTGCTGAGACTGGGGGTGTTGTCCCTGGGGGTGCTGAGTCTAGAGGTCCTGAGCCTGGGGGTGCTGCGCCTGGGGGCGTTCTCTCTTCCCAGCAGCTGCGTGAGTGGTACTCTCGGTACTGTCGCCGCCGCCGTGGTGCTGTGGGAGCTGGAGGTGCTACTGGAGCTGGAGCTGAGGGCGCTGAGCCTACTGGAGTTGGTGTTGCTGCTGACCCTGGGGTTGGCGCTGGAGGTGCTGGAGCCACTGGTCCAGGAGGTGCTCGTACTGGCGGTACTGGAGCTGCTGGGACTGGGGGTGCTACTGGAGCTGCTGGAGCTGGTCCTGCTGGAGGTGCTGCTGGTGCTGCTGGAGGTACTGGAGCTGCTGGTGGTGCTGAGCGAGTTGGAGCTGCTGCTGGAGGTTCTGGTGCTGTCTCTGCTGGTTCTGGGGGCACTTCACGGCCACAGCCGTACTTCGTTCCCCTCCTTCAGCAGGTTCTTGGTCAGCCGCCTCCTCCTTGTCATGCTCCCTCCTTAGAGTGTCCTCCGCCTGTCCAGTCGCTGTCACAGCTACCGTCTACCGTCTGTCACCTGTTCGTGCTGCTCGCACTGGTCGTCGTGTCCCGCGTCAGCGTCCTCCTGCTGTCCCAGGCACTCACCAGATGGCGCTTCGTCCTTCCACTGCTCCACAGCGTGTCCCGCTGCCTTCTCCTCCTGCGTCCTCTCTTCCTACCCTTGCTGACCCGGAGTCTGACTCTCTTCGTGCTGCTAGTCCTACTGTCACGCGTCTCCTGGCCACTGCTGTCACTGACCCTTCCTTTGAGTCAGCTGCTGCGTCTGCCTTAGTTGCTGAGCTTGTCGACTTTGCTGGTCACTGTCGTCTAGACTACGCTGCGAGTCTTGTTGCTGAGTCTGAGTCTGAGTCTGTCTGTCCTCCGTCCGTCGGGGGTGAGTGTGCTCTTGGCACGGACGTCCTTGAGGACAGGCAGGAGGAGTTTGAGTGCTTTGCCGCCGCTGTACCTCATCTCGTGTCCATGCTGATTGCACCTGAGGGAGACCCGGATGCACCAGACATCCCGACCCCGCGCTCTTACGCTGAGGCGATCGCGGGTGAGTACTCCTCTCAGTGGCAGTCAGCCATGGACGCAGAGATGGCATCCTGGAAGTCCACTGGCACTTACGTCGACGAGGTTCCCCCTCCTGGGGCGAACATCGTCAGTGGCATGTGGATTTTCAGGGTGAAGCGGCCGCCAGGTTCTCCGCCTGTCTTCAAGGCTCGTTACGTTGCTCGAGGTTTCAGTCAGCGAGAGGGAGTAGACTTCTTCCGGACCTTCTCCCCCCCACCCCGAAGATGACCACTCTTCGGGTGCTACTGCACGTTGCTGCTCAGCGTGACTACGAGCTTCACTCTCTTGACTTCAGCACAACTTTCTTGCAGGGCAGCCTGCACGAGGAGATCTGGCTATGCCGCCCTCCTGGCTTCACTGGGTCGTTCCCTCCTGGTACCTAGTGGAGCCTCCGGCGGCCAGTCTACGGTCTCCGCCAGGCGCCACGTGAGTGGCACGACACACTGAGGACTACACTTGCGGCGCTTGGGTTCGCGCCTTCTACTGCTGACCCGTCGCTGTTTCTGCGCACCGACACTTCGCTGCCGCCGTTCTACATCCTCGTGTACGTCGACGACTTGGTCTTTGCCACTGCTGACACTGAGGCTCTCGCCCTGGTGAAGTCGGAGCTGCAGAAGAGACACACGTGCACAGTCCTGGGTGAACTGCGCAGCTACCTTGGCTTGCAGATCACCCGGGACAGAGCACGCCGCACCATCACACTGACTCAGTCACACATGGTGCAGCAGGTCCTTCAGCGCTTCGGCTTCACCTGGTCCTCGGCACAGGCCACTCCTCTGGCTACAGGTCACTCGCTCTCAGCTCCACCTTCGGACGAGTCCGTAGAGCCTAGTGGTCCTTACCCAGAGCTAGTTGGCTGTCTCATGTACCTGATGACTTGCACTCGTCCTGACCTCGCGTACCCTCTTGGCCTTCTGGCTCGCTACGTGGCTCCTGGTCGGCACCGAAAGGTGCACATGGATGCTGCTAAGAGGGTACTGCGCTACTTGTGCAGTACATCAGGCATGGGACTCGTGCTTGGAGGGAGGAGCTCAGTTGTCCTCACTGGGCACTCAGACGCTTCTTGGGTTGACGACCAGGCTACGCAGCGGTCGTCACAGGGTTACACCTTCAGCCTTGGCTCTGGTTCAGTTTCTTGGCGTTCTACACGTTTGTCTTCAGTTCTCAGCTCCAGTTGCGAGGCTGAGATCTACGCCACAGCCATGGTTTACAGGAGTTACGCTGGCTCACCTACCTGCTGACTGACTTGGGAGAGCGGCCTTGTTCTCCTCCAGTACTGTACGTCGACAACAAGGCTACCATTGCCTTGTGTGAGGAGCACAGACTGGAGCACAGAACGAAGCACATCGCTCTGCGTTACTTCCTGGCTCGAGAGTTGCAGCAGCGTGGTCAGCTTCGTCTGCGTTACGTGGCCACTCGGGCCAACACTGCTGATATATTCACCAAGGCACTTCAGTCTGGTGATCATCAGCGTTTCTGCACTATGCTAGGGCTTGTGCCCACTTTTCCTCACTTGCTGTAGGCTTTGCTTGTACTGTGATCTACATATATATATACCTGCATGCTTGCTTTGCTAGGTAGAGATCACTGTGCTGTTTGTGTTGCATATATGCCTCTGCATGTGGACTGGCCTTGTGGCCCTTTGCTTGTGCTCAGAGTGTGTGGTGACGTTGTGATCCACCCTGAGCTTGCTTTGCCTTTCTTGACTGGTCTTGTGACCCCTTGCTCTCCCCCACTTTGCCTATGGGGGTGTGTCAAATGTCATGTCTGCTACAGTTTGTTTAGGCTGTAGTGGGGTAGTTACTATGGGGTACAGTAAGTTCAGGGTTTCCTACTTGTACCCAACTCTTTCCTAGTTCAATCACACTTGTTCATTCTGACACCGGCCGCCTTCGGCGGCCGACGCTCGCCAGCGCGGCCTTCGGCCGCGCGTGAGGGGTGGCAAGGGGAGAAGCAAACCAAGACATATAGCAGCATGGGGTACATCACGGGCAACTAGCAGGTCAGGACAAGAACACCACCCCCAGGCAAGGAGATCCCGCCATGGGGAAGCCCAAGGCAAGGCCCAGAACTACAGGAGCCTGCAAGGGAGAAACACGCGTTACTCGGAGAGGATCCAGCACAGCCTCCCGTCCATCCAGCGCAGGACGGATGCGGCTGCTGATACAAGGCCGAGGGGGGCCTCCCGGGCGGACTCAGCAAGCCTCACCATCGCCCGTGGGCCGGGCCCAAGCGCTGCACCAGGGGCGCCCGGCAAAAAGCCGATCAAAGGGAGATAATGCAGCATCTCCGTTGCCGCTGCCACCGCCGCGGACCGCTCCGATGGAAGCATCCCCCCAATCTCCGCGCCTTGACGCGCCAAACACACGTGGAGCTGGTCCAGGACGTACGACAGCAACGTCAAACACGTCCCCACGTGCATTACGCGCTGCTCGACGTGGGGAGGCGTTGCGGCTACAGGAACAGCAACATGAGGAGCCGGTGGGACGGGTGGGTTTGGCGGCGGTAGGGGAGTCTGCGGCGTTTGCTGCCGAGGTTGGGGTAACGGATACTGGTTCAGTGGAGCCGGGTGCTGCTGCGGAACCTGGGGCGACGGAGCGGGAGGAGACTGACGTGGCTGTGGCGGCTGAGGCGACGAGGACGGCGCGGGAGACGCAGAGGCCTGAAGCCGGGACTGCTGCCGCCTCTGGCGGCGGCTTAATCTCACAGCCCGCGGCGCAACCGACGGGGATGCTGCTACGTATGGACGGGGGCCTGGTTGCGGAGGAGCCACAGACGATACTGGGGTCGGCTGAACCTCCGGCGCTCGAGGTGGCAGAATCCCCGTCACCGCTTGGGGCGACGGCAATTGCTGCGGTAGTAGCTGAGGAGGCACGGCGGCAGGAAGGACCCCCGAACGAAGATTCTGCATCGACTGCCGCTGAGTCCGCCGGAACGCCTGCTGCTGCCGGGGCCGCAAGCACGCAGGAGCACGGCCAGGTGGAGGGTGATAGCGCGGGTCCCGCGAACGGCGCCGCTTCCGACGCGGCACGGGCGAAGAAGAAGAAGATGCTACGCGCCCAGATAGCACCGAGGCGGCCCGGAGCAGGGCTGGGACCTGGTGCTCCGGGACCCCTCCAGGGCTGGCTTCTGCAAGAGCAGTCGCCACAAGGGCGAGAGCGTCAACTGCCATCTGTGGGGCAAAGAGGAGGGGACGACGAAGGGGAGAACGGCGTAAGGCCAGGGCGTCCCCCAAACAGCAGGACGGGTGACATGGCAACAGAGGCGGCAAACGCACAAGTGCCCCAAAGGCGCCCCAGACACACAGTGGGGGACAACACAGAACACGAGGGATGGGAAGAACACGGAGCGGAGCAAGAAGCAATAACAGAAGCAGCGCCTACCCGCCGAACCGGAAACGCAACCCCGCAGGTGGTGCCCCGCAAAACACGTAGCAGGACACGCGCCCAGGGTATTTTCTGGGGAAGGCCGACGGCGACGCGCAACGGAGCGACACACACGCCGTGGTTACCGGCGGGAAGGGCGCCAGAGGCCGGACGTGGTGGCGGGCGGAACACCAACACCCCGGCGAGAGGAGGGACCACAGCACGCGGGCGTCGTGGCGGAGCACGAGGGGCGGGAAGCGCAAGAGGAGTGATTGTCGGCGGAAGGGAGGCACCAGTCAGAACGGGCACGTGGCGGGAACGCCACGATCGGCCAGAAATGGAAGTAACTCCAGCGAATCAGGAGGCCAGGGACTCTGACAACCCAGATGACGGGGAGGATTTTATCCCCTCAGAGTATCCTGCCTCGGAGGATGTATCGCTAGGGGAGGAAGGAGACACGGCAGGAGGGCCTCGGAGGAGAGGTGACACGGGGACTGGGACACTTGCGCCAGCCGAGACAGAAGGTGGTGGGAGTGCTAGAGAGGGCGTGAGAGAATCAAACGCCGTGTCACCAGCTGAGGTGGCTGCGAACGACGCAATGTGGCAAGATGCTGCCACCTGGGATGTCGCTAAGCTCCAGTGGGGGGACCAGCCCTTTCTCGTCCGCAGAATGCCGCCGACAATCCTGCAGAGTTACACCCTGTGTGTCCTATCACCACTCCTCCGACTCGCAAAAAATCCCCACTGTCCAGGTGCATGGGCGATATTGCAATTCCTGCCGAGGCTGACCCTTCGGCCGCCCCCCGAACCAGTCGAAGGGTCACGCTGGGCAAGGATTGAAGAGAGGCTGCAGCAATTCCAACAAGGCAAATGGAGGGGCCTTCTTGAGGAGGCAGCGTTATCCCCGACAGTGGCCACCCGATACGACACCAAGCTGATGACGCGGGGGTCTGTGCACGGGTGGAGAGTTTGATACGAAAGGGCAATATTTCAAAGGCGGTTGCTGCGATGCGAACAACCCCGCTTGCAGACACTACACCAGAAACACTCGCAGCCCTGCAAGCGAAGCATCCTGCTGCAGTTTCGTCAACACCCGCGTGTATAACCGGCTACACCCAGACGGCACTGGGAGTCAGCCCTGACGATCTTTGCGAAATTCTCAAGCGTTGCCCCAACGGGGTTAGAGCGGGACCTTCAGGCACATGTTTCGAACATCTCAAGGACCCAGCACTCGGAAGCGAGGAAGTCCTTATTCTCCTAGCTAAAGCAATAAACTACCTACTTAGTACCCTCCAGCCGCAGGCCGTCAGAGATCTAGTGCTACCATCACGACTCATAGCATTAGAAAAGCCAGGGGGAGGTGTGCGCCCGATAGCGATTGGAGAGGCTCTACTGCGCGTCGTGGCGAAAGCTGCCCTTAAAGAACTATCTCAGGAAATTCAAGAGTTCTTTCTCCTCGTGCAGTATGGCGTAGCAGTACCGGGGGGAGCGGAATGCATCGTCCACTCGGTTCGATCGTTGCTAACGGAGGACGAGAAGCGCATAGCTCTACAGATAGATATTGAGAACGCGTTTAATAGTGTTGAGCGGGCGGCATTCTTCAGAGCACTCTCGCAGTCCAGCCTACAGCCGCTCCTTCCACTCGTACGCACGCTCTATGACGGTCCGTCAAGCCTTATCGTGGACCACAGGCTCGGCGTGGACCATATCGTGAGCGCGCGGGGAGTGAGACAAGGCGATCCGTTGGTCCCCCTCCTATTTGCAGCAGCAATCCAGCCCACATTGCTCAGCACGGCGACTCTGCTTCCTGGAGTGACAGTCGTCGCGTACGCCGACGACATCATCGTCGGGCCACGAGATGCCGCCTATGAGGCCTTCAAGAACATCACGAGGGAGCTCAGAGGGCTGGGGCTGCGCTGCAACATCGCGAAGTCGACTGGGTGGGCGGCCGTCAAAGGGGAGAACGAGGTGCCACCACCGGAGGGCCTGCTAATGAGCACAGCGGGCATCGGCGTTTTGGGGAGCCCGATAGGCACGGCGGAATTCTGCACCACCCATGCCCAAGCACGCCTCCAGGACGCATCGGCGCCGCTGCCACTGATCGCCCAGCTGCACCCCCAGCATGCCATGCTCGTCCTCTCGAGGAGCATCAGCCGTAGAATCTCCTACCTGCTACGTACGACACCGGCGGAAGTGCTGGAGCGGGAGGAATGGAGAGCATGGAGCGAGACTCTGATGGCGACAGCGTTAGCAGCGGCGAAACTGCGGGTCCCAACTAGTGAGCTGGAACGGAGCCTCTTATGGCGCCAGGGTACACTACCAGTCAGGCTGGGGGGACTTGGCATTATTGACCCGACCTCGGAGGCCCCGGCGGCCTACATTGCGTCCATAACGGCAGCCCAGCAACTCCTGAAGCAGATGAACCTACCCGAGGGACACCTCCTGAGCAGGGCAGCGACTCTGCTAGACCATGGGTGGCAACCGAAACCACCCGGGGTCAACCCACTGACTGCTCTTGAGGCAGGTCTGCCGGCAACGGCAAGAACAGCCCTACGGACATACAGGGAGCAGCCGGTAGGACAGGGCAACCTGCAGCTGACACTGTCCCACCACATCAACGAGACACGGGCATTAGAGCTGCTGACTGACACAATCACTGATAGGCCCGGCAGAGACCGTGGGCACGTAGTGCGCCTCGTCAGCCTGCAAGGGGTTGGTGCGGGGGACTGGCTGCATGCCGTGCCCACGAGAGCTGACCTTACATTCGCCCCTGGTCAGTTCTCGTTGGCTTTAGGATTCCGGCTCGGCATGCCCCTACCGGTCACTGTGCGGTGCCCCTGCGGAAGGAACAACTGCAACATTACGGACGCGAGTTTGGCGAACCACCTCCTGCGATGTGGTTACGGCAGGGACGTGGTCAGGACACATAATGCGTTGGTGTTTGCTGCACTTAGAATGGCAAGGGAAGCAGACTACACGTGCTTCCACGAGACAACTGCCTTCTCCCCACCAGCGGCGAGGAAGCGAGGGGACCTGGCCTTCAGGGACAAGGAGTCCAATGAGACCTGGGTGACGGATGTCACCGTGACTGACCCTGTACTTCAACGCAGAGACACATTGGCCAGGAAGCCGCCAGGATGGGCGGCAGAGGAGGCGTCGGAGACGAAGCACCGTCTCTACGAGGGCCGCCCAGACTATGTCGGCTTCTTTGGGCTGGCGGTGGAGACGTATGGGGCACTCAGCACGGACACGCAGCAGTTCCTCCGCCTCCTGGCTACCTCAACGGCCAAGAAGAAGTTCCGCCAGGGGAGGCTGACCACAACAACGGCACGGCTCACAGCGCATTACAGGCAACGGTGGTCGGTTATGCTGCAGCGGTCGCAGGCAACTACTTTCTTGAACAAGTCGAACCTTGCAGATGAAGCAGCGTTCCCCCAGGCTGCTAGGGACCCATGGGAGCCAAGCCTGGGGGATCTCTGGCAGACACTAGAGGATGAGTATGAGGGGTGCCTCATGCTGGCCAGAGCGGCCTAGGGAACTAGGGGGGGATGGGGGGGAGCGGGGAGAGGGCAGGAAGTGGCAGCGGGAAGTTCGGGGTGGGGTTGAGCAGTGGGGGAATGGCGGCGGCCGACATGAGGGGCCTTCGGCGGGCTCGGGAGACATTGGCCTGGGGTATGCTTGACAGGGCTTTACTAGGAAAGGCGGCTGATCAGGAACGAACACACATCGCCATCACGTTGGTGGTTTGGTTGCTTGCATTGCTAGTCTAGGTGCATGTTTGTCTCTATCTAGCCAATCTACTAGCTTGCCATGCCTGTACCTAACGGACCATATTAATGCAGGACAGCTTGAGAGAGGGAGAAAGAGAGAAGGAATTCACATCAAGTGACTGGTAATACTCATTGCGAGTGGGACCAAGAGTGCAAGAGACGGACTTTGACATTCTTGGGAAATCATCTTGGTGATGCGCATGGGGAAGGGGAGAAGAATAAGAGCAGCATGGGGAAGGGGAGAAGAATAATAGCAGCATGGGAAAGGAGAGAAAAATACGAGCAACATGGGTGGTGTTATCGGGGATGTCAGGGATGTCATCGGTGGTGTCATCGGTGGTGTCACTTGTTGTGTCATCGGTGGTGTCACCGGTGGTGTCTTTAACGGGGACATTAGCGATGTTATCACCAGAACTACTAGTGCTGGTGGTAGTAGTGGTACTTGTACCAGAAGCAGGATCTGGGACGGAACTTGATTGAGCAGTGTGTTGCCGACCGCCATAGACTGGTGGTTGCATGCTGCAATATCAGAACATGGTCGCGCAAGTGTAGCTAGTATGATCAATCAACATTTTCTGTAGCGCGTCTCGAACGGCTCGACAATTTTTTTTTGGCGGTGCTTACCGATATTAGTGAATGAAATGAAGAGCGCCACAAGAATCTTGTTATTCGCCATCATAGTGAGACGGGCACAGTCGGATGCTGGTGTTGCTGATACCGTTCTTCCGACAGAGGGGCTTACGGAAGTGTAAGGTAGGATACTAGAAAACTAGGAGCGCGAGGATGAAATTTCAGGGCAATTAGTGGCTGCAACGACCAAGGACTAGTGCGATGGGGAGTAGCTGATGATCCAATGGGCGAATTTGTTCCAATTTATCTTCCATTCCATCCCAAGTCCAACATGGCAGCTCGGGATGATCTAATTATGCACTCCTTTTGATGCCTGCTGCTGAGCAACGGGCGGTCGCAATATGCTCAAGCGACGTAGGTGAACGCGTTCAGTGGTGCTCGTTCATTGGTGAGCGATGAAAATCTCCAAATGCTTCTTAGCTTCGCTGGGGCAGGCGAGAGCTTCGACGTGGAGTGTTTGGAAGTGTTCATTGGACTGAGACCAAATTTATCGTGTGCATTATTGCTGAGGCGACTCGAATGGTCGAATTATGTATTGTGTACGCAGTAGTGTACTTTCCACCCACCCACATGTCAGAACTATATTGTAGGCTGTAGTGGGGCACTCCTTATGGGGTACAATATTGTTAGGTTTTGCCTATACAAACCTTGTACTGCCCTGTTTCTAGTCATTCCTGCTTGATTTCTTCACATGGTTTCAGAGCAGTAGGTCCGTAGGACCGTTTTTTTTTTTCGGGCCCACCATACTTAGCTTCCGACTGCGGTTACCGCGTTACCCCACTACCCTGCGTCGCGCTGCCTCGCGCACGCCCTACCTTCCCCTACGTCGCGCTGCCTAGTGCACGCCCTGCCCTGCCCTGCCTGGCGTCACCCTGCGCCAGCGCCCTGCCCTGCGCCGGTGCCCTGCCCTGCGCCAACGCCCTGCCCTGCGCCAGCGCTCTGCCTTGCGCCGGCGCCCTGCCCTGCGCCGGCGCCCTGCCCTGCGCCAGCGCTCTGCCCTGCGCCAGCGCCCTGCCCTGCGCCGACGCCCTGCCCTGCGCCAGCGCCCTGCCCTGCGCCAGCGCCCTGCCCTGCGCCAGCGCCCTGCCCTACGCCAGCGCCCTGCCCTGCGCCAGCGCCCTGCCCTGCGCCTGCACCCAGCCCTACGCCCGTGCTGCGGCCCTGTGCGTCGCGCCCTACCGCAGCACGCGCGTTGCGCGCTGCTGCTCCGCGCGTCGCGCTCTGCTGCAGCCCGCGCGTCGCGCCCTAAGGCAGCCCACAAGTCGCGCGCTGCTGCCTCGCACGTCGCGCTCTGCTGCAGCCCACGCGTCGCGCCCTAAGGTAGCCCGTCGCGTCACGCACTGCTGCAGCCTGCGCCAGCGCCCTGCCCTGCGCCAGCGCCCTGCCCTACGCGCGCTGGCGCCCTGCCCTGCGCCTGGGCCCTGCCCTGCGCGCGCTGGCGCCCTGCCCTGCGCCAGCGCCCTGCTAAACCCTAAATAAAATTACAATATTTATTAAAAAAAAAGGGCCCTAGGTGCTTCTGCCCTAGGAGCTATTACCTGCTACTGCCCTGCTATGGCTACGCGCCGACCTG